CTCCTCCTTCCGCCTGCCTGTGTGAGTGCAGAATGGGCGAGTGGATTTGGGGATGTTGGTGAGGGGTCTCCTTTGTAATTGTGGGAAAGTTCATTAAGGAAACAGTGGTGGCTCCAGCAGTGAAAAAGTTGTGGAGACGCACTGAGTGGGGCTGCCAGTCCTGCCTGGAGCTGGCAGAAGGGCAGATGGCTTGTGTCTGAGCCATACCTTCACCACATCTGCCTGGAGGTGGCTCGCCACAGCTGCCTAGGGCTCAGCTCCACTCTGGGCTGCATGTCAGGATACCCACTGCCAGCACACATGGAGAGTACAGGCCACCCCACACTCATTCCCCAGGTCAGAGTTGCCAGTCTGGTGAAGCCTTGGGTCTCCTTCGCTTCCTGTTGGGGCTAGGAGCTGTTTGGAAGGGAAGAGGGTCTTGCTCACAGCTTCTCCTTCCTTGCAGGCACATGGAGGCACGCTCATTCTACACCTACTACCTGCGCACACTCTCAGGCATCACTCGTGGCTCCTACAAGCTGAACACAACCATCGCCGTTTCCAACGAGACCAATGTATCCCAGCCAAAGCATGCTGACCGGTCAGACCCTCCCCCTTCATCATTCTGGGGCAATGGGAGGCCAGGGCTGGTGCAAGGAGGAGGTGTCATGGCCGTGGGTGGGCAACAGGGTGGGACTATGCCTTTCCCCTGGGGAAAAAGAAAACAAGTCGTGGCTGGGTTCCTCGGGTACAGATTAATGGGCTGATGGAGCATCATGTTGCGCTGCCCTCCCCAGCTCCAAGGTGTACATGGCTGACTTGGAGTCCACACTGCACTACTCGCTGCGGGTGGAGGCCACCCGTGCTGCCACACTGTCAGGAGCCCAGCTGGCCGCCTTCAAGTGCTACGTATCCATGCTGGCAAAGGTGAGGAGCTTTCGGTGCTGGGAGAGGAACTGCCTGTGCCTCCATGTAGCTATTCATAAGATGAAATGCAAATGCAGGATGCAGGCCACCATGTTCCAATGCTCACAGGTAGCAAAGCATGATGGTCTCGGATGTGAGCCCTGTGTCCCAGTGCTCTGCTCAGCATAGTGGACAGGACTGTGGGGCTGTCCCTATCCCTGTGGATCTCCAAACTCAGCCCTGAGTTGCAACAGACAGGTACCGGAGAGTTTCTGATGAGATGTGAGGTGCAGGTATTGGAGGGCAGAGCAGGATTGGCACTTGCAGGAGGTGTTGAGGCGGCAGATCTTTTCAGAAGAGGCGGTCACCCACTGGAGTGTCAGAGGTGGTCAGAGGGGTTTGTAACTCTGATTGTCTGACTTGAATTAGTTTAGGGAGCTGATCACTGCAGACTCCTTTGGTAGTCCAGGAAAGGAATTCCTGCTCCAAGTCAAGCTCTGGAAGAGCCTCGTTTAAAGGTCTCCTTTTTTCTTCTCTGTCGGTGAAATTGAAGTGTGTAGGAGCTTTGAGCCTGCAAAAGTGGAGCGCTTTAATTCTGTGGATGAAGCACCGTGTTTGGCTGAGGTTTCTGCCATTGTGTTGCAGGAGCCCTGTCCTCATCCCCGTGAGAGCCCAGGCTCCTTGATGCACCTTCACCCAGCCATGCTTACTGCCTTTGCTCTCTCCTTTGTCACACAGGGTTTCCCACTCAGTTTGGACCTTGCGTAGCCCTTGCCTGTGTGTGAAACACCCCCTGCTCCCACCCCTGCCTGCTGTCCACCAGCAAAGAGCTCCAAACATGAGACACTGGTGCAATGAGTCTTAAGTACTCAGTTTGTCAGTTCATGTGGTTCTTACTCTGCTTGTGCCCAGCTATCACCCTTGCTGTTTCTCCCTTTAATGAGAACCACAGGGTTAGGGAAATAAATCCCCCATCACACCAGCTCCCTGGCCGAGGGCCCAAGTTTGCCATCATGGTGGAGAGCAGCAGCAGGTTTATTTGATCAGCTTTTAATTCTTCCTGCAAACCTTCCCCTCACTGGCCAAGGATGAGCCATGGCTCCTGGCAGGGAGACAGCGGCATCCTCACCGTGGGCAGGAGGCACTGGGACTACTGCGTGGTGGGTGCCGGTACTTCCCCGAGGATGCTGAGCCGGTGCTGCCGTTTCCATGCTCATCCACGGGACGGAGCAGCATCCCCAGGATTGCAGTCGCTGCCAGCCGGGAAGGGCTCAGGCTGGGGAGCTCAGCCTTAACTGTTGCGTTCCCAAAAAGTATTTAAGGAAGGAGGGAGGAAAAATCCTAACGTGGAAAGCAGTGGTGCCTGGAAAGTATGGAATTGTGTGGCAAAGCCTCCAGTCGAAGGAGCAGGGGGGACTGCATTTTCCAGTGGAAATCAGGTCACAGATGAATTCCCCTGTGAATTTGGGACTTTGTGTGACTCCACAGACCTGTAGAGAACAGCTCAGACTTAGCAAAATGCTCCATCCTTCTGCTTCCTCATCACTTTTCCTGTGTGCTGCTGGTCTCATCCTCCCCATGGGTTGGTCTCTCTGTCTGTCCAGCAGTGGGACAGACTGGTGGGTTGCCCCCTGTTCCCGGAGAGCCTGTGGTTTTAAAGTGCTGCTGCTAATCGGCTTTGTGCTGGTTTATGTTCGGAGTGGCTTTTGCCTCCCTCAGACGGGGCCGAGGTTTGGAGCCTGAACATGCACACAGGAGACTATGACCTTGCCAGAATGGGGGGGGATATGCTGCGACCCCCAGCCCCTCAGCACCAAAACCTTGCTGGGACAGCACTGCCCGCCAGCACATGCTGCCAGAGGGAATGCTGGTGCTGCCCAGTGCCTGTCACAGTGAGCTGGGGGTGCCGTTGGGTTGCCCTGCTGCTCCTCGGACAAGGTCTGCGTTTCCTCACCCCTCTCCCCACTCTGCAGTACTTCCCGGGGCGCCCCTGCGTGCAGACCTACCTGCAGTCCCTGGATGGATGGCTGAAGAACTGGACAGAGTCTGAACTGCCCCGCAACGTCTTGAAGGAGGCCATGAAGAATAACAGAGATGTAAGATGACCATGGGGACCCTGGTCCCTGCTCTCCTCACCCCTGCCCCTTACCCGCAGCCCGCATTACCTGCCAGCTCCATCACACCATGTCTATCTGTCCACCAGGCCTCCCACCCTGCTGTGCTCCATGGCCAGCGCAGCGACCGCCAGTTCCGTGGCTACCCCTGCGGGCTCTGGACCATCTTCCACCTGCTGACTGTCCAGGCTGCCAAGAGCGGACCTGACAAAGGTATCGAGTCCCTGGTGGGGTTTGGGGAGGGGGTGTCTGGGTGGGCTGCAGCGCAGACAGGGATGTTGCATGCGGGCAAAGGCTTGTTTCCCCCCTTCTTCATCTTGCCCCAAGGCAAATTTGCAGGGGGGACAAGAGCCACAGTGTGGGGTTGCCATCTCAGCTGTGGGACTGTAGTAGTGGCACTGCAGGGTATGGACTTGCCTTCCTGTCCTCCCCTATCCTCTGCCTCCGCACAGAGCTGCCGCTGGAGGTGCTGAGCATCATGCGCTGCTATGTCCGGTACTTCTTCGGCTGCCAAGAGTGTGCCCAGCACTTTGAGGCCATGGCAGCTGAGTCCATGGACCGGGTGGCGAGCCGAAAAGAGGCTGTCCTCTGGCTCTGGTCCCACCACAACGAAGTCAATGCTCGCCTGGCAGGTAAGGGGGGCCACGGGGAGGGGAGCCGGAGCCAGGGCGGCTTCCAAAGGGAAAAGAGAGGTGAGATGAAGGAGCATCCCTCCTACTTGAATGGAGCTGGCAAATGGCTGCATCAGGGTGCAGCAGTGGGGACATCTTGTTGTCATCATCCCTCATCGTAGGGGACAGCGTCTGGTCACACAGCATCAGACCACCAGAGATGCAGTTGGGTCTTACATGCTCCCTGCAAGGAGCTTCCCAAAGCCACTGTGTGCCCTTGGAGGACCCCTCCTCCTGTGACAGTTCCTCCAAATGTCCCATCTCCATCACTGTCCCCAGCTGCTGGATGCTCTGGGGTGTTTATACCAGTATAGTGGGAGGACTGTCACACGTCTCCTCTAACCCCCGCACCGGCTCCGGTCCCTGCAGGAGGTGACACAGAGGACCCCAAGTTTCCCAAGCTGCAGTGGCCTCCACCGGACATGTGCCCCCAGTGCCACAAGGAGGAGCAGGGAGTGCATGCCTGGGATGAGTCGGCTGTGCTCACCTTCCTTAAGGTGCACTTCTCCCCGGCCAACATCTATCTGGACTATGCTGAGCCTGACCCCATCCTCGTGGCTGGAGAGGGGACTGGCGCCAGGCTGGGCACAGAGGGCCCGCGAGAGGCGAGGGAGAAGGAGGAAGAAGAGGAGGAAAAGGAGAGGGAGGGTGACATGAGAGCTCCAGGGCGACTG